TGGATGCTACTTGGTTCAATGTACACATTTCACATTGTATATCGAAGCAGTATCCTGAACTTCATAAATGCATCAATGTACAAAGTTATGATTTAATAAAAAATAATTTTAAAAAAAGAACTAAATTTAAATATTCTAAGTTGATTTGTTTTAAAAGTAATCACTAACAAATAAATTATAAGCCCCAGCATAAATAATTATTTATTAATCTAATCTTATGTTGCGAAAGTATGTAGGAAGCGCTCAATTTGGGATATAAAACTGCATTCTCAAATATATACAAAAACTCATCTGAAAGGCCAGGAGCGGTGGCTCAAACCTGTAATCCTAGCACTCAGGGAGGCTGAGGTGGATCACTTGAGCTCAGGAATTCCAGATCAGCCTGAACAAGAGTGAGACCTTGTCTCTACTAAAAATAGAAAAACTAGAGGCGGTCGTTGTGGCTGGTGTCTGTAGTCCCAGCTACTAGGGAGGCTGAGGTAAGAGGATCACTTAAGCACAAGAGTTTGAAGTTGCCGTGATGCCACGGCACTCTACCGAGGGTGACATAGTGAGAGTCTGTCTCAAAAAAAAAAAAAGATTTCTAATTTTTTTGGCTTGGCACCACAATGAGGCGGGCAGGTTTGAATCTTGCCCCAGTCAGCTAAAACAACAATGACAACTGCAACAAAAAATAGCTGGGCGTTGGGGGAGGCTGGGAGGCTGAGGCAAGACAACTGCATAAGCCCAAGAGTCTGAGGTTGTTGTGAGCTGTGACGCCATAGAACTCTACCAAGGGTGACATAGTAAGACTCTGTCTCAAAAAAAATTTCTATTTTTTATGATCAAAAGCCCTGGCTTAATTTCTAATTCAAATTTATTAACTTAGTCTAGGGCAAGGATGAGGTTTTGTTGATAACAATTATAGTATAATACTGTATATTCTCTTTTTCCATTATTTTTTTCTAAAAACAAAGCCATCCAAAAAAATTATATTTAATCAACTTTACTGAAACAAAGTGTTTCATGCTAGCCACTGATGATGCCAAGGACAACACTGGTATTAAAAAACTCAACTTCAGCGTGGCACTAGCCACATACACCAAGGCTGATGGGTTCAAACCTGGCCAGGGCCAACTAAAACAACAATGACAACTGCAACAACAACAACAAAAATAGCCAGGTGTTGTGGTGGGCACCTATAGTCCCAGCTACTTGGGAGGCTGAGGCAAGAGAATCGTTTAAGCCCAAGAGTTTGAGGTTGCTATGAGATGTGATTCCATGGCAACAGCTTGAGATTCTGTCTCAAAACAAACAAAAAAACTCAACTTCAGAATTATTGAGTGAATTAGCCAGAATACATCTCACTCCTAATTCCAGACTGATGGCTCTAATGGTAGCTCAGTTTCATCTTAACCAGTTTTGTCAAAGAATATGCACTTTCACAGAGCTAGGTGGACCCAGAAACTGCCCAGAGCGCCTATTAGCTGTCTCATATTTTCACCATATCTCAAAGAGGTATATTTCACTCTCAGTTCAACTGAGTCTTCTTGAAACCATCTAATACTGAGCAGACATTTAATAGTATTTCCCAAAAAATGAAATAGAAAAGAAAAAATAATTTAGATACATCCTGAAGCTTATACTCCCAAGGGCAGATTCAGAAGGGGAAGCCATGATTTGCAACCATTAAAAAATCTATCATGGCTTCATTCCCATGGAACAGTCTGGCAAATTTTCAAAATTGGAAATTCAGTTAGCAAAAGAAAAAAAAGGAGTTTTCCATATGTAGACTACTTCATCTTCATGACCAAAGTTTTACTGACTACATGTACTCGGAAAAATCCCTTTTATCATGTAATTTCATGTGTAGGGGATTTTTAAAATGCTATCTATAGGATTAAGAAAGCACAATTTAGACGCTACCAAGGATCTTTCAGCAAAGTTAGGTTTCTTGGGTCTGGATCTTTTAAAAAGATCCTCCAGGACCAGGCAACAGAGAAACCTTGTCTTGAAAAAAAAAAGGGAAAAGGCTCGGCACCTGTGGCTCAAGTGGCTAAGGCGCCAGCCACATACACCTAAGGTGACGGGTTCAAATCCAGCCCAGGCCTGCCAAACAACAATGCCAGCTGCAAC